GTTTGAGCTGGCCTTCCCGAAAGGTCCAGCCCACTCGTACTACAGCGTTAGCACTTTGGGGTCTGCAGATGTTCTGGGCCAATGTCTCTCCCCAGTTTCAGCTGCGGACACTGGTGGAGTTGCAGAGGATAACAGAAGGCAGAACTTGTTCTGTGATGGCTAGAGATCGCAGGGCAAAGTCCATGCCCACTGCATCACCTAGCAGTCACGTTGTTTTCAGCTCATCCTTTCCAAGTGTGCATGTCCCACTCCAAGCTGAAGGCCAGTCTGGGCACCTCCTTGCCAGAGAAATGCTGACACAAGGAGAAGGCTCCGTGAAGAACAAAAAAAAAAAAAAAAAAAAAGATCGGGGATATTGAACGGGCTGATTTGCAAGGAGAGGTGAGAGTGAAATACGTGTCACTTGGCTGAGAGTTGACTAGAGGGAGGGGGGAAAAAGATGCCTGACTACAAATGTTTGATGGGTGTAAACAACAAGGAGGGGAACAAGTTATTTAGGGTGGGGCCAGGGTGTAACTGTGACCAATGGAGAAAAACAAAACCCAGTCTGAACCCCTCAGGCACTACAGGGTTAATATCACATTGATATCTGGTGGCATCTGAGCAAGGGAGCAATTTCTTCACCAAGCAAGAACGCTATTGCAGAGCCTACCTGCTACATGGGAATGGAATTGCTGACAACGCTCCCTGTTGTCAGGTCACGGAAGATTTCTCCTGAAAGAGGGAGAATAAGGGGGAATGCTTCAGCCCCTTCTCAAAGGCCTTCAGAGGCAGTGGGATGACACCCAGTGGCATCACGGGGAGTTGGATCAGGCCCTATGTCTTCTCTTGGAGCTTCAGTGGGTTTTTCTGGCCTTGCAATCTACGACTCTATGAATCTTTCTGTTTTGTGACATTAGGAGGAAATTGTGGTAGACGTTCAGACCATGGTACCCCCACTGGGATGGTGTGCAGCCTCTCTAGGGAAGGGGCGACCACCCCCTTGCTTGGAACATTTCAAATCAGGCTCAAAGAAGTACTCACGTCACAGAGTTTAAAGCCAGAAGGGACCACTAGATCATCTGGTCCAAACTCTCAACCCAAATGAAATGTTAATTTCATGTCAACCAAAATATTTCACCTGACCCAAAACTAAACTTTTTCATTTTGCTAAAAAAATCCAATTTGTTTTTTGCTTGTTTGAGGTCGGCCCAAAATTATGATTTTTTTTCTCAGTTCAGCCACCAAACTGAAAACCTGAGCCCATGAATACCATGACCTAAAAGGGCATTAGCAGGTTTTATTTCCATGGGGCAAAGCAAACACAGCCAAGGAGCTCCTGGCAATCTCCCTGCTCATTAAAAGCAAGCACCAGGCAAACACAGGGAAAATGCCACCCAGGAGCTTGTTTGCTTGAGCTTTAATTAAGCTGACAGGCTAATTCAGCCTAGGGGGGAAGTAAGAGGAAAGAATTGTTGGTGACTGCCTAGCCCTGCCTGCAAGGGGATCTGCCCAGGCAAGCTACATACCTCCCTCCCTCCCAGTTTTGTGTGGTGTTGGGGAAGCACAAGGGGGTGCTGTGCAGGGAGGAATGAGGGGTTTCTGGGTGCCAGAGGCAGAGCCAAACTGGGTCCTGCCTTCCCACTCTACCCCCTCTTCCCTCTGCTGCTAAGACCTGAGCTCAATGAACTGGGGATCAGGTCCCAACTCCCAGCACCTCCTGCAGTGGGAACCCAGCAGAGTGGGGAGGATCTGCAGTGCTGCTCCAGGCACTGGGCAGCGCTGGCAGCTGAGTGGGGCCCCTCCAGCCTAGCAGGGAGTCTCCTTTCGCCCAAGCAGGAGCAGCAGCCTATGGCTTTAGAACGGATGGGTCTGAGCCCCCGTGTCCTTGGAACTCTGGCAGAGAGAGAGAAGGGGGTGAGTGAGAAAGGCCCCTGCTAAAGCAGCAGCCAGGGCAGCAACAGCCTGTCAGGATTAGCTTGGTGCCCATTCCCAGCAAAGCTGGCAAATGGCCATCTCCAGCCAAGGCCTGGTTGTGTTGAGTAGCCCAGCCTGCTCCACACAGCCATGGGGTGGTTTCAGTCCAGCAGGTGTGACTCACCGGGCAGCCAGCAGTTTAAGGGATACTTTCCCCCAGCTTATTCATTTGCCAGTGCCAAACCTCCAGCTCAGGACAACACCGAGGAATGCAGCACATTAGCCCCCTGTCACGGCCGCAATCCTGCAGTCAGAGCTGTACAGGTGGACTCATGCACCCATAATAACAAGAGTGGTCTTGGACGCAGCCCCCACACTTTCTGCATTCCTGCTTCCCAGGCCCCATGGCCGGGACTGAAGGCCTCTGGAAAGTGCACTGGGCATGGGCAGAGAGCATTCCTAGCTTGGTTAGTAGGAGGGAGGTGTGAGGGGGTGGCGGTAGCCAGGAGTGCTGAGCACAGCCCATGCAATGAAAACACCTCTGGACACACTGGTTTGATGGGCCACTCCTGGAGAGGAAGGGGAGGGCTTTCTCTTCCAGCTGCTACCAGTGACCTTACCAAGTGGGATTCCTCCAGATGGCCCAGATCTCCCCTCGCTGACCCTGGCTTATGAGCAAGGGGCTGAAGGGGAGGGCAGTGGAACACTCCCCCACACATGCTGATGTAATAAACAGACAATTTATCATTGTGGCAGCTCCTGTCCCAACAGAGCCCTCAGGTGGCTAGCACACAGGAAAGGCTTGTGGGCGGGTTTCCCACAGCACAAGAAGCAAGTTGGAAAGAACATAGGCTGTGCTATACCAGCGCGTTGTATGAGCGGCCAATGCCAGCTGCTACAGGAGGTGCAAAGCCCTCGTTATGCCTCTGATTGTGCAGGACTAGGCTCTGGGGAGTGCATTTGCTTCCTGACCTCAGCTGACCATCAGCATGTGCCCCGAAGCATGAGGATGGCTAGCAAAGCGTAGAACTCCTGTGTTTACTGCTGGGGTTTCCAATGTGTTGCCTTCCTGAGAAAGGGTTCAAATCAGAGATCCCCTGCCCCCTTTGGTGATGGTGATCCATGAGAATTTAGCAGCATGTAAAGAAAGGGGTGTGTGAGGGAGATTGGCATGGGGAACAAGGGAAAAGCCATGCAGAAATCCGAATGATTTCTCCCTTCTCTGGCAGACTGGGGAGGACATTCTTGCAACAAGCTGACCAGACCTATCCGTGGGAGGTAGGAGGGTGGAATGGTGGTAAGCGAGGGCCACTGTACATGGCAGTGCTGTGATGTATTCATCAATGCACTAGCCTTTCTCTCCCTAGACCTGGGTAAGGCCGTTAGTGACATGACTTCAATGGGCTGGGCTAAGTCCACCGCAGCGGTTTTCTGCTTAAGAGAAGCCTGGGACAGGTGGGGATGGAGGGGCATTGGCAGAGCTGAGTGTAGAGCCCAGGACGGGAATAGCAGGGGGCTACAGGCTGGCATTGAGCGCACTGGCAGAGTTGGCACGCATGCAATCTTCCCTAGCACCTGCTTACACTCCCCTGATCTGCCAGCACTTTCAGTCTTGAAATTGAAATTGACTTATCATAGAGCCACAGGGAAAACGCAGCCTGAAGAAACCAGGAGCCACAGGGTTTGCCAGCAACATTAGCCCTGTAACCAGAGACTTTGGCCATAGAGGGAGGCAGCTCTCAGAGCTAGTCTGGTCACAGAATGGGTCTCTCCAGGCACTTCCTGCCTGCCGCATTGGCTCCTGGGCCGAGCTGTCACTCACCTTTGAGCACAACTCTTGTAAAGCTCCCCCTAGCTTTTTAATCCCTCCAAAGTCTCCTCTGGGTTTGTCTCGAGCAACTGCTCCAGTGCAAGGCTTGCTGTCCTCCCAGCACCTGCTATTCTCACAGCAGGCTTCTTCCAGTTTACTTTGAAAGAGAAATCCTTTTAAACTTCTAGCTCCAAGGTCTGTGCTGGTGATGGGCTACTTCTGCAACGACAGAGTGAAAAGGCCATTTCCCCAAGATGTGCAATAAACGTGTGGGCCTGACCTTTTCCCTAGTTGTATAACGGGTGTGTTCAGAGTCCCCTAGTATTGTACAACGGGTGTGCTCAGGGTCTCCAGGTGTCGTAGGGCGGGTGTGCTCAGGGTCTCCTGGTGTCCTAGGGCGGGTGTGCTCAGGGTCTCCGGGTGTCGTAGGGCGGGTGTGCTCAGGGTCTCCTGGTGTCCTAGGGCGGGTGTGCTCAGGGTCTCCGGGTGTCGTAGGGCGGGTGTGCTCAGGGCTGTAGGGGGTTGACAGCAAGCCTTTAAATTGTCCCTGCGGTGATGGTGCCATCGTGTGGTCGTTTGAAAGACGGGTGCTTTCTTGGAACACCCTCCGTCTCTATTCTTTCCTCGGCTCCCTCGCCAATACTCCCGAGGTCAGATGCTCCTCTCGTGGCCTGGGCAGCGATGAGCGTCCCCCGGCTTTAACTGCCTGCCAGCGCCTAGGTTCCAGTTCTCAGCCCCCCTCTGCCCGGCAGAGATCGGGGCCCGATTTTCAGAAGGGCCGGGCTCCCATTCAGGTACGCGGCGGGGGTTGGGATGGCAAACTGGCAAGCGCCGTGCCCAGCCCTGGCCGTCAGCGCCGCGGTGGGAGCTGCTGGGCACCGCGCTCCTAAGCCTGCGCGTTCCCAGGGCCCGATTTTCAGAAGCTAGGTGCGGGCGCAGGGCAAGGGGCGAGCGCGCCGCGCGGCGGGACATCGGGCTCCTGGGGGGATGGACCGGGGCAGGCTGGCCCCTGGCTGGGCTCGGGAACCCACACCATGGGCTGGCGGGGTGACCCCCGCCTTCTCCGCGCCTCCCGGTGGGGGACCCGCCGCCAGCGCCATGCGCCCGGAGATGGGGGCCTGGCGAAGCCCCTGCACCCCGGGGACTTATCTCACGCTGCCGTCGGCCTGACAGCCGCGGCCGGGACTTATCTCCCCCCACTTCCTCTCTCCGGACGCCTGCGCCGTGGGTCGCGCCGCGATGACGCACGGGGCTGGGGGGCGTGGCCGGAGGCGGATGGGCGTGTGGGGCCCGAACGTCCGGGCAGCGGAGGGGGGAGGGGCTGGACATGGCGCTGGCTGAGGCCCGGCCCGGGGGACGATGAATAAGGGCTGGCTGGAGCTGGAGAGCGACCCCGGTGAGGCGCGGGAGGGCCGGGCAGGACTATGGGGGGGGCACAGGGGTCGTGGGGATCCATGGGGGCGGGGGCTTGCCAAGGGGAGGACCGGTGGCGAAGGGCAGGGGGTGGGGGATGAGCAGCTTTCCCCCAGGCGGGGCAGGAGCCCGTCAGACAGTTAAAGAAAAGGGCTGAGGCCCCTCGAGTGCCTGGGCCCCTCTCTGGTGAACCCCTAGGTCCTGGCCTCCCACCCGCAGGGTGCAGGCTGGTGCACGTCCCTGGGCATCGCTGGTAGACTCCAGCTCTCTCCAGCTCTCTGGGACCAGCTCTCTGGGGGGTCCAGAAAATAGCTCCGAGCCAAGGCTGCGAGATGGGCTCCCAGAAATGGAGGGTTGGCGTGGGACCAGGATTCAAAACCCCCGGAGTGTACTGAAACGGTCACTTTAACTTGCAGTTGATCCAGGCATCTTTAGATGGCTCAGGATGGTAGGTGGATGAGCGAGCCAGCAGGCTGCGAACACTGTTCTGTGTTGTGATAAAATTATACCAGTGCTTAGGTCAGTGTAATTTATGTCACTCGGGGTGGTTTATTCACACCCCCGAGCGACAAAAGTTATGCCAGCATAATTGTCCGTGTAGACATGGTCTAAGGGATGGTATCCTTTCAATTCATCATCATCACGTATTGCATCAGCTGCATGATTACTTTGCTGTGACTCAACACTATTCTTCCTCCCCACTGAGGATTCTTGGGAAGATGGAGAGGGAACTTGGGGTCTTCAGGCCATTTGCTTTGAGTTATGTGCCCTGTACTGGTAGCTTCCCCTTCAGAACTTCTAATCTAAAAAGCTCCTGCCCCCGGATGCTGAAGTAACTGCTGAATGCATGAAGTGAAATGAAAGTGATTTTAGAGGTTGCAGATAAATCAGAAGCAAAATGTATGAAGTCAAGACTAGCCTCATCTGCCTACATTGAGCCCTCGCATTGGACTACATGTTCTTGAAGAACAGCCTGGGAGACGTAACGTATCCAGTGTTGTGGCACAAAAGATGGTCAGACTAGCTGATTTGGTGGTCTGCTATGGCCGTAAATTCTATGCGTACGTCTACACTGCAGCTGGGAGGTGTAATTCAGACTGCTGCGTGACTGCGGCAGCACCAGTGGCGGCTTGGGCTAGCTGCCTAAATACAATCCCTTCGAGGTTTTAGGTACGTACTCGACTGGCTAGCCCGCGTGGGTATGTCTAGCTGAGCTGGGAATTACCCTGCCCAGCTGCAGTGTAGACATACTCTTAGGGCTTGTCTACACTGGCAGTTACCAGCACTGTAACTTACTCACTCAGGGGTGTGAAAAAACACCCCCCTGAGCTCAGCAAATTGAAGCACTGTAAAGTGCCAGTGTAAACAGTGCCCCAGCGCTGGGAGCTACGCCCCTCGTGGAGGTATTTTTTTTTAGAGCTCTGGGAGAGTTCTCTCTCAGCGCTGCGCTGCAACTGCAAAAGACACATTAAAGCTCTGCCAATGTAGACTAGCCCTTAGAGTCTATGAGGAGAAAGGCCTCCCCGTGTGCTCCAGGGCTTGCTTTCCTCAGGGCTGAGTTACAGAAACTGGGGAATTCTTAGCTCAGTTTTGTTCTTATAGTTGTGTCTGCAGCCCTGAGTGCTGTTTATATATAGACCAAAGACCCCCTAAGTCCTGGCTCCTGTCCTGTCCTGTTGTTGGACAGAGACATGCAAATATTGCCCTGCAAATAAACCTGAGGCTGTGGTGTGGAGTTCATCTTTTATATTGTGTGCTCAGATGAGCTTTGTTGTAGTTGATATGCCATAACTTTTATCTCTTGTGGTTTCAAGGAGAGAATCCTTTTATTAGGCTAGGACATCGTATTAATGTATGTACTACAGTTCTATTACTTTTTGGTCCTTGAATCGTTCTTGTAGTTCTTCTCTGAATTCTTTCCAGTTTTTCAACATCCTTTTAAAGTATGGACACCAGAACAGAACATAGTAGTCCATGAATGGTCTCTTTCATAGAATATCAGGGTTGGAAGGGACCTCAGGAGGTCATCTAGTCCAACCCCCTGCTCAAAGCAGGGCCAATCTCCAATTTTTGCCCCAGATTCCTAAATGGCCCCCTCAAGGATTGAACTCACAACCCTGGGTTTAGCAGGCCAATGCTCAAACCACTGAGCTATCCCTCCCCCCAATATAGAAAGGTTAGTTAAACTAACAGTAATAATTTCTGATAACCCACTACCATCGGACCAGCCAAAAAAAATAATCCTAAATGGCCCCCTCAAGGATTGAACTCACAACCCTGGGTTTAAGAGGCTAATGCTCAAGCCACTGAGCTATCCCTCCCCCTCTTTGATGTCATATAGAGATGCAGTAACACCTCCCTACATCTATTCATATTCCCCCTGCTTAAACACCTGAGGTTCACGTTAGCCTCCTTAGCTACAGCATCACACTGGCAACTCATGTTTGATTGGCTGTTTACCATACCCCATAGTCTTGGTGTCATGGAATTCCAGGATATAGTTTCTCATCTTGTACACGTGGGAAACAAGTTTTCTAGCAGCTGGACCTAGCCTATGGTACTCATTCCCACAAGATATAAGAATGAAGACACGTCTCATAGCTCTCGGATTTAACTGGCAAACTCATTTCTTTGACCTAGCTTTCCCATAATAAGTTATTCTTCTATTTTCATACAAATATAAATAAATAAAATATCCTATAAATGAATTAAACTCCTAAAGAGAGAGATGATTTCTCTTTTTAAATGCTTGGGAGGCTCCTACCATGATGGAATCATATTACTTCCTAGATAGTTTGGTGGCAGTAGTGGGTCAATACCTTGACATGTAGGTGCCCTCTCCACCACCAGGGCTGAGCAGGAAGATCAGGTGGGGAAGGTGGTCTCCTAAAAATGCTAAACCCCAGATATTTTAAAAATCTCTATTCAGGCAGCATGAGCCAGGAAGCCACTCAGGTAAGAATTAAGGGGCAGTGTCTAGGTCAGGAGGAAAGTTGTAGTGAAAACAATTAAGGCTTGTTATGGTGCATTTTATTACAGTTCCAAACTTATAGTTTCCTTCAAAATTTGCCATGGGAGCCCTACAGCACTAGTCAGAGGTAAGGGGCAGAAGATTTTCTGTCTGCCTTCTATGTAGCTGCATGAACTTCTCAGCCAGAAGTAATCTCTCTGTTTTGTTCCTCTTCAGGTCTCTTCACCCTGTTAGTAGAGGATTTTGGTGAGTACAAGAGCTTTTCTGCAAGATTGGTTTAATCTCTGACATGGGCTCTGGCTCCCTTCTGCTGGTCTCGTCATACTGATTCCTGCTCTCTTTTTTTGTAGGAGTTAAAGGGGTGCAGGTTGAGGAGATCTATGATCTACAAAGCAAATGCCAGGGGTAAGTTACTGACTCAGCAGCATGACTTGCTGAAGTAGATTTAATCAAGCAAAAACTTCTCAGGGCACGTCTACACAGAGTAGTAACACAGACTATGGGGGTGTGATTTCTAAAGGCACTGATATGTTGGCATTAATTGGTTTTGTAGACCCTACTGCGCACTAAAAGTTACCTGTTTCACATTAATGCAGTGCTGTTCAGTATGAAGTTAATATGTACTAGGGAGCTTTTAGTTCGCACCAGATGTTAGTGTGTTTTAGGAATCACATCCCCGTAGTCCACCTGTAGACATGCCCTGAGAGTCTGGGAGTTCCCCTCGAGCAGTTCTGAAGGGCCTGCTTGTCACTATCAGATTTCTACAGTGGTTCATGTCCTAGACACTTAACAGGGAAGTTCTGAAAAGTATTTTGTCAGACTTGGGAGGTAGGATGTGTGATCAGTCTTCCTGCTTGGTCAGGAGGACGTGGAAGGAGGAGGAGTGAGTTAACCCATGGCAGTGCTGTGGAATGGGGACTCCAGGCTGGTAACAGAATAACAGTATGTATAGAGAAAGATCCTGCAGGGTCACAGGGGATGGATTTCAGGACTTTAGTATTCTTTGTCATCTCTACTGGCAGATGCAATTTCAAATCTGCAAACAGTGGCTTGATGGTTAGAAATAAAGTCACCTAAAGTCAGTAAAGCATCTAAGAGTGAGCCACCAGGGCGCTCCCATGAAGCTAATGCCACACCCTGCACAAAAACATTACAATGCAAACCTAGTGTAGAACAGTATGAAATACTGGATCATCTGATGACGACCCGACTACACTGCGGGACACTGCGAGGCATCCCTCTCCTGCTTTGAGCAGGGGGTTGGACTAGATGACCTCCTGAGGTCTCTTCCAACCCTGATATTCTATGATTCTCTGATTCCCCGGAGAGTGTGTAACTTCCCCACTCCATAGGGTCTCCTTATTACTGTACTGTGGGTTTCCATTAAATCACAAAGATTACAGACTTGGGTGCTCTCTGAGATGCCTGGCTTGAGTATCAGACTAGGATGATTTAATTGGGGATTGGTCCTGCTTTTGAGCAGGGGGTTGGACTAGATGACCTCCTGAGCTCCCTTCCAACCCTGATATTCTATGATTCTATGATAATCAGCTGGAGTGTGGGGAACAAGGACAGCAGTGGCACTTCCCAGTAGGATGGAGGTTGGCTTTAATGCCTCTCCTTTTTTCCCCCCCACAAATTGTGGTTTAGCCTGAAAACGCCTCTGGTGCTTGACTGACTGGAGCGGCTCAGTTCATGTTGATGGAAACCCTTCTAAACTGGCTCAGCTGCTAACTCCACCCCCATTGCATTTCTTTCCCTGCCAGCCCAGTGTACGGGTTCATCTTCCTCTTCAAATGGATCGAAGAACGCCGGTCCCGCCGGAAGGTCTCCACCCTGGTGGATGAGACATCTGTGATTGACGATGACATTGTCAATAATATGTTCTTTGCTCATCAGGTAGGTTGGCTGGGAGTGGAGGGCGAGGGGTGTCTCAGGACGCCGCTGGGGGTGAGTGGGCAGTGAGGAAGCTTTCATAAAGTGGTATAATCTGTAGCTACCCAAAATGTGGAAGACTTTGGAAGGAATGGTCAATAGGTATATAGTAGTTACCCCGGTTGGTAGAAAGCATGGTTCTGTGGGGACGGTACACTTAGCCTATCGCTGATCACTAGTCCTTGTCCCAACTTGTGTTTGGTTTTTATGTTAGTCACCCAGGTGTATTTTGGGACATAATGAAGGCATCAGCTATCTGAGGGGCAGTTGGGAATGGGGACCGAACAACAGAGATTGGGAGATTTGGGAGTCCTGGACAGTGGGGATATGTGAAACTAACACTTTCCTTGGATCACTCCTTAACACATGGCTGTTAGGAAAGGCTGGAGGACTTACTAAGGGCTATGGCGTCTCTTCGGAGCCCAGAATGCTGTGCACAAGGCATGCAGCCTGCCCTGGAGAAAGGGATCAGGAGTTTAGCCAGCACTGTGGTCTTGCAGAGCATTGACTGATGTGTTTGGAGGTGAATCGGGGGGGTGTCACAGCATTTTGGAAGAAGGAAGCTTGAACAAGTGCAACTCCAGCCCCCAAATGTGCTGGAACTGCATTCTCCCATGGTGTCATGTTTTCTGTAGACTTTAATAAATGGCTGTATGTCTAGCTTCTTCCCTTGTCTGCTCCAGGACCTTGCAGCAGGCTGGAGGGGTTGAGAGAATCCAAGTCAGCTGTTACAGCAGAGGTCCAGTCAATCTGCACCAGGTCTGGCCTTTGCTGTGAACAGCTGCTCAGAGGGGTATGGTGTGACTGACCTGGAGACACTGACCGGGACAGGGGTTGTGTTGGTCAGTAGTGCTCCAGGCAGCTGTTGTGCTATTTTTCGGCACCAGCTACTGCAGGGTGCTGGGTAACTCCCAGGTGGTGATGCTGAAGTATCATCCTGTTTCTGTTGTTTAACTTGGTCTATTTGCCCTGTAGCTGATTCCCAATTCCTGTGCCACCCATGCCCTGTTGAGTGTCCTCCTGAACTGCAGCAATGTAGACCTGGGGCTGACGTTGAGTCGCATGAAGGATTTCACCAAGGGGTTCAGCCCAGAGGTATGGGGTGGCCTGGGGCGGTGGGGCTTTGGGGGAGCATCTGAGGGCTGCGCCTTGCTATGGGGATCCTGCTCCTTTCCTGTGAGGTTTTTGTAAAGGGATGGCTCCTTAGATAGTCATGCCCTCACCCAAGCTTCTTGTCTCATTCCTCCCCACTTGTTGTTACGTTCTTCCTAATCCTTTCTCCTTACTTCACCCTTTAGTCTATCTCCTTTGCTCTTGCCTAGCTCTGTGCTGTCCCCTAGGTCTGCAATATTCTCCATACCCTCTTTAGCCAAGCACCCACCTCTTCAAATACTTCCTCCTTCCTTCCCCACAGTAATGCCCTTGGCCGCCTACTCTGGAACTGGTACTGTGTCTTTACCTTGGGTTTGTCTCTCCAGGGTATGATCCATTCTTGTAAAGCCCTGTGTAAATCTGTTAATGAGATGCCCATAGATGAGGGAGGCGTTTCCAGAGACATGGACTAGAGGTGCTGAGTTGAGGGATTCCAGCTATCGCGTCCCTCCACCTCAGGGATTTTTATAGTCTCCCTTTGCTTTTTGCAGAGTAAAGGCTATGCCATTGGGAACGCTCCGGAGCTGGCCAAGGCCCATAACAGCCATGCCAGGTGAGTGTGGATGTCCCCAGCAGCTCTGCTCCCTGAGGGAAGGGTGGTTGCTGCTGCACTGACCTCTCGGATGTGTTGCTTTTGCAGGCCAGAACCCCGGCACCTGCCGGAAAAGCAGAATGGAATCAGCGCTGTGCGGACCATGGAGGCTTTTCACTTCGTCAGTTATGTTCCCATCAAGGGGCGGCTCTTTGAGCTGGACGGGCTGAAGGTCTATCCCATTGACCATGGTAAGAAGCCCCAGCACCCACAGCCACAGGGATGTCTAGAAAAGACCTTGCCTGTGTGTGACCTTAGGACGTGACACTTGCTGTTTATGTTTCTTTGGTTTGCTGGAGCACATGCAGTGACCACTTGCATCACACCTGACATCTCGCTAGGCTCATTGAATTGACCTTCCCGATGGGCATCTCTGTCTGGCCCCGGGACCAGTCCTATTCAACGTATTCCTCAATGATCTGGAAAAGGGTAATCAGTGAAATAGCAAAATTTGCAGATGATACAAAACTACTCAAGATGATTAAGTCCAAAGCAGACTGAAAAGTTACGAAGGGATCCCACAAAACTGGGTTACTAGGCAACAAAATGGCAGATGAAATTCAGTGTTGATAAATGCAAAGTAATGCACATTGAAAAACATAATGACAACTATACATATAAAATGATGGGCTCTAAATTAGCTGTTACCACTCGAGAGAGATCTTGGAGTCATTGTGGATAGTTCTCGGAAAACATCCACTCAATGTGCCCCAGCAGTCAAAAAAGCTAACAGAATGTTGGGAATCATTAAGAAAGTGTTAGATAAGAAGACAGAAAATATCATATTGCCTCCATATCAATCCCTGGTATGCCCCCATCTTGAATACTGCTTGCAGATGTGGTTGCCCCATCTCAAAAAAGAGATGATATTGCAACTGGAAAAAAGTTCAGAAAAGGGCAACAAAAATGATTAGGGGTATGGAACAACTTCCATGTGAGGAGAGATTAATAAGACAGAGACTTTTCAGCTTGAAAAAGAGACGACTAAGGGGGGGGAGGGATACAATAGAGGTCTATAAAATCATGACTGGTGTGGAGAAAGTAAATAAGGAAGTGTTATTACTCCTTCTCGTAACACAAGAACTAGGGGTTACCAAATGAAATTAATAGGCAGCAGGTTTAAAACAAACAAAAGGAAGGTATTTCTTCAAACAACGCAGAGTTGTGAAGATGATGTTGTGAAGGCCAAGACTGTAACAGGGTTCAAAAAAGAACTAGATAAGTTCATGGAGGATAAGTTCATCAAAGGCTATTAGCCAGGACGGGCAAGGATGGTGTCCCTAGCCTTTGTTTGCCAGAAGCTGGGAATGGACAACAGGGGATGGATCACTTGATGATTACCTGTTCTGTTCATTCCCTCTGGGGAACCTGGCCACTGTTGGAAGACAGGATACTGGGCTAGATGGACCTTTGATCTGACTCAGTATGTCTGTTCTTATGTTGTGAGGATCTAAATCTGTTTCCTTTCAATGGGTCAAGCTTTGGGCTTTTTGACTCCAGACTTGTTCCCATTCAGGAAATCATAACTACCTCTGCACTCTTCAGCTAGACCAAGGTTTCAAGGGAGGGAATCTCCTGGCGGAAGGACCGGTGTGCAATCTATCCTGTGAATGGCAAGCATATTCTGTGTGTGTCTTGTTTGCGTCTCTGGTTCACCCATACAAATCCCAGACCCAACTGTTGTGGGAGGGCAGAGCAGGAGATGATGCATTGTATATAGCCGTATGCAGCAGAATCGAGCCCTGTTGCATAGACTGGGTAAAGTGAGCCCAAGACAGGATTGATATAGTCTTAGAGACGGGAGTGGGTCCCTATTCCTGGCATGACTTGCTGATGGAACGGACTATTCAGAAGATGCTACTCATCTGTGCGAATTGCTGGACCCAGGCAGCGTAGTTGCTGTGCCGGCCCAGTCTGAGTTGGGGATCTTGGCCTGCTTTACTGACGTGCTTTCTCTTGTTTTCCCAGGACCTTGGGCTGAGGATGAAGAGTGGACAGACAAAGCCAGGAGAGTGATCATGGAGCGAATTGGCCTGGCCACAGCAGGGTAAATGCCCAGATGAGCTCGGGGGGTGGGCTTTCCCTCGACACACCTTGGTGTTTGTTTTACAGTGTGACAGCTCAGGGGTGCATTTTAGCAAATAGCAAACTTTTCAGACCTGGATTACTGGGCCCCACGTAGAGGAGAGAGGGTTACTCAGATAGCGCCGTAGGAGCATGAGATGCTTCTCATGTGTAACCCGTTTTGTCTCTTCTGCAATCTGACTAGTTGTCTGAAGAGGCAGGGAAATTGTTCGCTCATTGCAACATCACATTTCTCCGAATAGCGCTGCAGCCAATCAGAATGCAGGAGAAGGGATGGTAACAGTGGATCTTCACTTGCACAGATCCCTAGTCATAGCAACAATGGAGACCAGTTAGGTGCCTTTTGCTTGACCCTGTTGTTATTGAATTGGGCCTCTTAGGAAGCTTGCAGAGGGGCCCAGCTGTGATCTCAGAGCACCCACAAATGCTGCAGCGTGAGGGCCCAGCACGAGGGTCTGTGTAACTTATGCTCTCGATTACTCAGAAAGTTGTTTAGCAGCCACTGGGTTTCCATGTGTGGGAATGTCCTGGCGGGGTCATTGTCCCTGACTGCTGTAGGACAGACAATGATTGTCTGTGATGTGATGTCAGAGCGCCTCCTTGTGAATGAGGGACCCCTGAAGTGAATGTTCTGATGCCCATCCTGGGAACAAGAAACCACTCTTCTCCCAGAAGTGTCTGTGGCAAGAATGAATGGAGGCTGGCCTTCCCTCCATTGCCATCTGCCTTAGGAGAGACCTCTGGGCTAACGAAGGAGTGCCCTGGCTGCTGTGTGGCTCAGGAGGTGGGACCAAGTAACCCAAACCTCACGGATTCTGCAGTAGCCCATGCGTGCGCTGTGCCACCATGCAGCATGAGTGCTTTACACTCTTCCCAATGTGCTGCTGCTTGGATGAATTGTTATGGCTTTGTAACTACCTACCTTGGGCCTTACATGATTCCGCTCAGGGTAGTGTCTGACGCTCCCCAGCACCTTGGGGTGGAGGGAAGGGGGGTCTCCGCTTTCAGGAGGGGAACCGCAGTAGTGCAGAGAGGTGAAGTGATTTGGCTAAAAGTCATACTAGAAATCAATAGGAGAGGCAAGCAATGAACCTTACTCCCAAGTGTAAGAATGTCCCTTCCTCCTAGTCACAACTTTTGTGACCCAAACTGTGGTGGTCAAAATTTGGTAGGGTTTTGTCCTCCGTACAAGCTGAGTTTTGATTGCCCCGCAGCTGGCCCTCTGAAAGTAACAGCCCCAGGCTCCCACCCCTGCAGTGCAGTGAGGATGTACCTGCTGGGGCAGGTTAGCAGGCGCCATGTTGTGAAGCACAGATGAGGTAACCTGTGACTTATCTGACTTGAAATCATCAATTTGTTTCCAAATACTCACTGACAACCAATTGGCAGGGCTGTATGTTAAGGAATCTCCTACCCAGCTAGCAACACGGTTGGAGCCCTGCTCGTCCAGTTGGGTTCCTTGCGCCTCATTTATAGGGGAGCACAAATGGAGGAAGGTCTGAGGCATGTGGCATAAAAGTCACGTAATGTGCATGACTGTGTCTCTTCTCACACTGTGATAAAGTTAACCGCCCGCTGTTCTTCTGGATGCTGTGAAGCTGTTCTAGTTGCCTCATGGAATGCCGTGTGGCCTATGAGTATATTGGTTTAACCTGCATTGCTCTCTGGGATCTGCTGTTGCGTGCTGGTGGCATCCAAATGCCCATCAGCGGTTTGTTGGGGCAGCTCCTTCCTCTGGCTGAGCCAAGACTAACGTGCTGGGTGTGGTTTGCCTCAGGGAGCCGTACCATGACATCCGTTTCAACCTGATGGCGGTGGTGCCCGACCGGAGGATGAAATACGAATCTAAGCTGCACATCCTGAAGATGAACAGGCAGACTGTACTGGAGGCCCTGCAGCAGGTAGGAATGGGTGAGCCAGCTGAACAAATGAGCTGGGTTTGCCATCAGCCTGTAATTTCTGGCTTCTTGAGGCACTGCCCGGCCCTGCTTTCTCTCTCACTCCAGCCTGTGGGCAGCTTGGCTCCTAGGACATGTGGGAGGAGCACCTTCAGTCACCCCTTGCCCGTGGTAGGTACCATGCTCTATGCCTCCATCCTGTAGCTGAGCTCAGTGTAGTCCCATGTGGCTGCTTTCCCTGCATAGGCTTTCAGTGCCTTGCCCTGCACTTCCCAGGGTTTGCTCTATTGACCATTTAGCCCCATGGTCATCACTTCTAACCTGGTGGTGTTCCAGCAGGGCAAGCGGCCAGCTGATTCTACTTCCTTTCCTGGCTGCACATGGGTGCTGGGAATTTGGCTCAGCAGTGCGGGTTCATCTGCTTCCCTCCCTTAGCCCTGTGACTTGCGTGACTGGTCCTGAGAAGCATCTGGTTCAACAGTCAGGTGCGGATTGTCTTTTGCTTTCAAGCTTATCCGGGTAACTCAGCCGGAGCTGATTCAGACCCAAAAGTCCCAGGAGTCTCAGCCGGCTGAGGAGTCCAAGCCAGCCAGCAGCAAGGCCTGTCTGGCACTGGAGACGAGCAGAGCGCAGCTGGCCCCGGAGAGCTCGCACCCAGGTATGGGACTCGCTCTGCCGGGATGATAGTCCTGGCACAAAGGCACCCAGCTGTGGCTAGATAACTTGATTCTGGAGTACTGGGTCCCTCCGTGGAATAGGGAGGAGCAGTGCTGGCTTGGCCTTCATTGTTCTGCTCCTAAATACAGCTGCGCATGCTGTCCCAGGGCCTCGGGGCATGGATTTACTCTGGTCTATACCCCCCAGGCCTGGATTCAGCATTTGCTGGCCGATGCCCTACTGCTGGTAGGGATGCAACTACAGAATTTGAGAAAGGCAGAACTTACGCCATGCTTCTTATTGCTTTTGGCAGAATATTGGGCTGGAGAGGGGCACAAAAGCTCAACTGTTGTTGTGGGGCAGGAAAGAGGTGAAGCAGAGCATCTAGAATCAAAGGAGCTCAAGTCCGTTGGGAAAAGCTTTTCTTTGATATAGGGTGTATGTGTTACAGAGAGCACTGAGGACTCTACCAGCCAGGGCCACCCTGCCTCCGCACAGAGCCTGTCCAACAAATCCAAACTGGTAGCAAAGCCATCTGGGAGCTGCATCAACGGGGCTCCCGCAAACCCCAATCCCATTGTGCAGAGACTCCCAGCCTTCTTGGATAACCACAACTATGCCAAGTCGCCCATGCAGGTACGTGAGGCCTGGCCTTTCTTCCAATTGGGGGCTGCAGGCCAGAGAGAGCCAGTTTTCTAGGCTGTGCCTCTTAAGCTTCATGAATGAAGTCTTGGGGAAACTTTCTACCCCTCTGGATCCAGCAGCTGACTCCACCAGAGTCCAGGGTGAGGTTCCACAGAGCCCCAGGTCTGTCTGGAGGTCTATAGCACTTCCACAGTTCCTTACGAATGAATACAGGCAAAGCAGGTTGTATACACCAGAGAGAACAAGACACAAATGGAGTTGGGCGCTCTGTTTCCACTGATCTGTTAAAAGGTATCTCTTACGCTGTCCCCTCTGGGGATGCATTTCTGGGTTTTTAGCCTGTTCTGGATTTACATGACCAGATAAACTATGCTCTAGGCACGTTTGTTACACCTTGTTTCTGTGGGGAAATGGAGGCCAAAGCACTGAGCCCTGGGATCTTTGGTCCTGAGCTTTGATGGGTTCAGTTCTATGTTGAGATCATGTTCGGCTGGACCTTGAAGAGCCCCAGGGCGATTCTGGTCAGCATAGGGGGTGGGGGTGAGGGTGAGAGCCCAGGAGCGAATCTCTGAATTCCTTCCCCGAGAAAGGGGCTACCCCTGGGCTGCGGTTAGGGATGTGGCGCAGCCAGCCTCAGGCCTGCGTTGAAATGTCTTTGCCCCATTTCCAAGGAGGGCTGACTGCATGTGATCCCCTGCCCAGGATGGACCCTTCAGGCAGCGAACGGGTGTGTTTTGCAGGAAGAGGAGGACCTTGCAGCGGGCGTGGGCCGTAGCCGGGTTCCGGTCCGCCAGCACTACTCCGATGATGAGGATGACTATGATGAGGAGGAGGAGGAGGAAGTTTGTAACACTGCCCCCGCCATCAGGTAATGGATGGAGCTGAGATCTCAGGCTGCTGGGAGCGTAAGACCTTGCTTTTGCTTAAGCAGAGCGTGCCACCAGCAGGGGGCGAACTCCCCCCCCCACCCCCCCCCACCCTTGAGTTCCCTAGTGCAGACAAGTGAGGCGGAGGATGCCCTAGGGAAGTGTTTCACCAGGTAGATGACCAGTCGCTCCAGCCAACCAAGATCTCCTGTGTTGGCTGGGTGCGAAGGCAGCCCTGGCAGATGGAGTGCTTGCAGTGGGGCTGTCCTGAGCACAGACTGGCTTGCGAAAGAGGCCCTGCGGGATATTCATCCAGCCCCGGTCAGTTGATCTCTTCATCTAGTCTGTGCTTAAACCACACCTTGCTGGGGGTTATCTCCAAGTGTGCCTCACTGAGTCAGCTCATACCAGCCTCCTGCAGCGTGCTGCGCTCCTGGGGCACTGTGGCAGGGGATCGTGGCAGGGTGGGGACTAGCGCTCTTACTTGGCTGTAAAGGAGGCCAGTGCTGTGCTTGAACGATGATCAGTTTCAGGAATGTATAGGGGAAGGATGATCTTGCCTGGGGCTTACATACAAATTTTCAAGGCTCAGCTAATTTTGGGTGCACAACTGGAGGCACCTGAGCCCTGGCTCCCCGTTGCCCTTCATCTTGTAGAGTCACTTACCCACTGGGCATTGGGGTATGAAACGCTCCCATTCTGAATCCGGATCCCGGAGCCTGTCTGTCAGGGCTGGGAGCCCCCAGAGCTCCCATTGATGTCAGCGACAAGTGCAGGTGTCCAGCCACTCTGAGAATTGGGCCCTTTGGGGTGACAAGGTGAGCACTCCGAATTCGTCGATGGCTTTGAAAGCTTTGCGTTGGGCCCCATCCATGAAATCCGGATGATGGCTTTGAAAGGTGTTGGGAGGCTAAATCCATGATTTGTGGAGGCATTTGAGATCCTCAGAGGGAAGGGAGCAGAGAAGTGCGAAGTGTTATTTGCATGGTGGAAATGGCTTATGGTGAGTTCCAAACCGGTGACGCTGTAAATGAGACGGAATGACATTGTGACCGGCCCATTGCATTGCGAATCAGTGATGCCTCCCTGGAGCGGGAAAGTGAAAAAACAGATTCTGGCCTTGTCTACGCTTAAAATAGAGCTTCAGTGTAGACACTACCTACATTGATGGGAGAGGTTCTCCCGTCAACCTAACTCTGGCTACGCTGGGGGTTAGTTGGTTTAACTGCGTCGCCCGGGGTGTGGATTTTCACATAGTTAGACCAACCTACTTTCCTAGTGTAGACTAGGCCTTCTGTGTGTGAGTCCACACTGCCGCTGTCGTTGTTTGTAGAGCGCTGAGTGCTGAGTAGGTCCCTACCCTGAGCTGCTAACACTCCTGTTCCCATGTCGGACGCTTTAGAGCCTGAAAGCTGAGCTGATCAGTCTGTCTTTAGGAAGCCCTCAGCTGTGCGGGGCAAAGCACTTAATGACCTTTCCAGTCATGTGAGCGGTGATGTTTCCTCCATTTCCCCAGCTTGCCATGTTCCACTGGACTGGGCTTGGAGTGATGTGAACTCCTGGAGGTGCTTCAAGCATTGCTTCTGTATTCTGTGTCCTAGCTAATTGCCTGTGAGTGCTGGGGGCTGTAACATGTCGGCTGTTCCCAGCTGTTGGGATGCCGGACCTGGTGCCGCCTGTCGCTTCTCCTTGCTATGTGTGCTTGATCTCCTATTCTGTGTCCTTGGGCAGGTATAAGAGGAAGGGGCAGGGGAAGCAGGAGCTTGTGGCCGGGGCAGCAGACAGCCAGCTCTCAGTCCTCCAGCCTAACACCATCAACGTTCTGGCGGAGAAACTCAAGGAGTCCCAGAAGGACCTTTCCATCCCCCTCTCCATCAAGACTGGGAGTGGGGGCGCCACCGTAGCTGTGGTTGCCCATTCACAGCCCTCCCCCACACCCAGCAACGAGAGCACGGACACTGCCTCAGAGATCGGCAGCGCCTTCAACTCCCCGCTGCGCTCCCCCATCCGTTCGGCTAACCCTACCCGGCCCTCCAGCCCCGTCACCTCCCACATCTCCAAGGTGCTCTTTGGGGAGGAGGACAGCCTGCTGCGCGTGGACTGCATGCGGTACAACCGGGCTGTGAGGGACCTGGGGCCCATCATCAGCACCGGCCTGCTGTGCCTCACCGAGGAAGGGGTGTTTTGCCCTCTTGCCATCACAGGTAGGTGGTGGGGAGGACCACAGTCATTCTGAGTGGGAGATGAGGGACCCAGGGCTCTCCCATGGCTGTAGGCTGAAGTGAAAGACCTCGGTTCTGCCGTAGGTGAGAGGGCAGGATGCTGGGCCCTCAGATGACCAGGAAGGGATGGAATGTTGCTTCTATCTGGATGCCGAGGTGGGGGGTAGCATGTCCCTTGGCGCAGGGAGCAGGTGTTAGCACATGGCCATGGTACCTAACTCTTTCTTTCCTGGTGTGCCCAGACGATGGGAAAAGCTCCCCTCTCTCCAGCAAGCAAAGAGAAGAGGCCCAATCTGCTGTCAGAGTGGACGAGAAGGAGGCAAGCGAGCCAAGTGACAGCAAAGAGAAGATTGCTCTCTGCAGGCCCAGCGATCACCCTTGCGGGGAGAAGTATTCTCCCAAAGTGAGTGTCCTGCCAATTCTGCTCTGAGCGAGGCAGCAGATCCATGGAGCCAGGGTCCTGCTTTACCGGCTGGGGGCACAGCCTCTCTGCCAGAGGCCTCAGGAGCTGGTTTCTGCGGGCAGGTAGCAAGTGCAGTCATTGGCGTAACCATTGTGTGCCAGGAGTCAGGTTTCTTTGCAGCCTGCTCCTTGCAGTTTGGTCTCTGTGGAAGCTCCTGCCTGTGCTTTAACCCCAGTCTTTCAGTCCACCAGCCTTGCCACCTTTATTCCCTTAAATTGGTACTGGTGAAAGGTGCTGGCCTGCGAGCCGTGGACACTGAGCCTGTTTATCTCCCAAGCTAGCAGCACCGGTGCAGCTACTGCACCCTGACCTCCTGAGGTGTCGCTGTCCGTCTCTGGGAATGGGAGGGCAGGCCAGGCTTTGCCACTCGCTTCATCACAGGGACACGTGTCCGCTAGGAACTGGGCCAAGTCCACCAGCTGATTTCATACAGTGCCCAAGTGTCTGTTGGCTGCTTACTGCCCCTCCTAGAGGTGAAGAGCTGTGTGTGCTGTTGCCAGTGCCTTGCGCCATCCTGGCACCTGTGCTGTGCTCTTGCTCCTCAGACCCTGACGTGCTGGGACTTCCCATGCGAGATCCGCCATGCTGACTGCCTGGGCTCTCGGCAGTACCAAACTCTATTGCAGTTAAATGGAACTGCATCGATCCCTTAGGACAGCTTCTAATGCTGCAGTCCAGCAAAGCCCTGTGGCTTGTGAGAGGAGCCTTTTCCGTCTGTTAGTTGGAAGACAGGGCTTGGTATTTGCACGCCTTGCTGTGTCAACAGCTCCCAAGCCTGCACTTCCCCCTGCTTGGGGCAACGTGGCTTGGAGCTGCGTGGCTGGTTCACTGGTTGTACTGATCTAGGGAGGCTGCTTGGCTGTGGTGGCAGCAGGCGTTACGGGAGGTTTTCCCTGCACATTCTCCCTGGCACTAAGCTGCAGCAGGGACAGGGTGAGTCATGTTCTCTCTGCTTGGCTCTGCCAGGAGCTGCTGGCACTGCTGAAGTGCGTGGAAGCTGAGATTGTGAACTATGAGGCCTGCCTGAAGGAGGAGGTGGAGAAGAGGAAAAAATTCAAGGTGCGCTGGCTGATTGCTTATTTGGGTCCCTTAGGAGGCTAAACCAAGCTACAGCCCCAGGTGAAATGCTCTTTGCACTGGCATATAGAGAGAGGACTTCTTTAGATAAGCCTTGGGGAGAGGAAGGAATGGTCTCTGCCACCCTTCTCCTTTCAGCTAGGAAGGCTTCCTGACCAAGATGACAAAGTCTGGTCAGGACAAACAAACTGCCTGAGCGGCATAAAAAACTTTGGGGATGCTGAGTGAGCAGCGCAACTGAACTGAGGCTGAAACTTGCCTGGCTGCGTAGCAGAATTCCTCCACCCTCCCCGCTCAGTTAGTTTTGATCTCTACTGCACTTCCCTGAGGGCACATGGCTTACCGTATAGGTCTGCAAAATAGAACTGGAGTAAATCTCTCCTTGCCTGACAATCCCCTTTAGATACTCCTTGGATACAGCCACCTTGACTGTGTTTTTCCCTGATCCCTCCTGTCTCAGCCCATCAATACAGGCAGGAGTCACGAGCTGGGTTTGGGGTGTTAGCTTAGAACCCAAACCAGCCAAGAGCTGACCCCAGGCTCCTGTCTCTAGAGATGGGTTCAGGTTCTGGGCTCTGTTGGCTGACTGCTCCGGGAAAGTAGCTGTTCACCTTGAGTTTTCTCTTCCTCCACCTCTTTGCAGATAGATGACCAGAGAAGAACCCACAACTATGATGAGTTCATCTGCACCTTTATCTCCATGCTGGCTCAGGAAGGTGAGGCTGGCTGCTTCCTTGCAATGCGGGTGTGGGGAGGCTTGGAGCTGCTTGGTTTCACAACCCCTTGGAAGTGGCATGCCCACTTGCCTGTCTGAAGACAGGGAGTTGCTGAGGGGTTGCCCTGTTGTCGCACTTCACTGGAGCACATCAGCTGCTTCTGCTGGGGATCCTATCACACTGCTGCCACATTGAAAGGTCCACTCGAGACTAACTCATGGTCTCTTGGCAGGAGAAAGGCCCTGAGCAAGGGAGCAAGCGAGCAAGCATGAGGCTGACATTCCTACACCTCCCTGGAAAGCATGGGCCTTTTGCTCTGGTACTTGAGGACTTTCTGTCCTAGAATGAACTGGGAAGCCAGTGTCCAGGGTCTCCAGCTTAGAAAGGGTCAAGATTAAGCTGCTGGTATAGGAATCCTAAAACTGGGCTGGGGCTGTTATGTAAGGGGTTAGATGAACTCACTAGGGACAATGTGGTGTCAGGTGTCTACGTTCCACCCTGGAAGGTGGCTGAGAGACTTCTGAGCCAGTTCTCCAGTGTGTCTGCTATCCCTTGCAGGAATGCTGGCCAGCCTCGTGGAGCAGAACATCTCTGTCCGCAGACGCCAAGGAGTCAGCATTGGGCGTCTCCACAAGCAGAGGAAGCCGGATCGCCGGAAACGCTCCCGTCCGTATAAAGCCAAGCGCCAGTAGTGGCATCCTTGTGGTCAAGAGGGGGAGCGGAACTCTGCGCCCACATGGCTCGTGCTAGCATCTACAAGCACTCGGCTGGACCAGTCGCCCTGTGCCCAGGGGAGATGGACCCAACAAGAACCCTGGGACTGGGTCCTTTCTGTTCATGTCCTCAGTGGTGTTGGGAATAGAGGTGGAGGTTTCAAACAGAATTTGGATTTTATCAGCCCCAGCCTGGGCACCCTGGGAATGGGCACTCCGTGCAGCAGTGAAGGGCAGGTTCCAGTGTCAGAGTGCTACAGAGGCACTTGGATCTACTAGGCAAGTGTTCCAGGCTGCTCTGCATACTCCATGGCATTCTAGCCCAGGACTGATGGAAAGGCAGCTGCAGTTGGTATGATGATGCTGATGGGTGTCTGTGCTGGCCACCTCGCATCATCCAGCATCCAGGCCTTCAGTGCTACACTGCTCTGGGACATTGATATCAATTTTCTATTTCACAAATGTTTATTTTGTGGTTCTGACCAATGTTGCCAGCATCCTCCCTGAGTATAGCTGGCTCCCTGATGGCCTATTCTGGGCCATCTCTGGTCTCTAGTGACATGCCTGAGCTGCTGCTGTCCTTGTGTTAGTCATGCTAGGCTGCTCACCTCTGAGCGTGCCTTCTGGGGGTGAGCGCTGTGTGTCTCTCTGTCTGTAGCCCATCACCTGCTGGGTGTGGTAGGATTTCCCCTGAAGCTGTCCCATGTTTACCCACTGTTCCTGCTCTTGCTGGGCTAGCTTGGCCTAGCCACACTCCTTTGGTCATGGGTTCCAGCTGTGATGGAGATCTCTGCAGTCGCATGCTTGTGCTGCCGGTGCTAGGCAGTTGGTGCAGCACTCAGCCTAAGTGACTTCACGGCAAGGCAGCCACGGGAGGAAGCTCTAGTTCCTGAGCTGGTGTCATTCCATGCTGAGATTAGGCCCTCGCTGCACCATGCTTCAGCCCCAGAGGGAAGGGCTGCAGGGGCAGCCTTTGTTTAATGGCCTTCCACTAACTTCAGTGCCTAACTCAAAACAAACCATGAAGCAGCTGGGCAGGAACCCTTAGTGAAACACACCAAACTCTTCCACAGCGTTTCTTCTCAGGCAGGGATGTCTGGCCTTTGAAGGGCTTATCCCTGGAAACAGTTTTAAAAAGAGGGCTGCGGTGGAGAGCTAGCTCTGCCCCAGTCACCGGCATGAAGAATTGCTGCTATGCCTATTTAAACAGAAGCCAGGGTGCTGCAGCTGAGGTGAGGTGGAAGCACCAGAAGGAGCTAGTGCCCATAGCTGCTCTCCCCTCTGCCCAAGGCTGGACTCTGGCTCATGCCTGCCTGAGTGAGAGTTTTCTCACACAGGGGCTAGGTTACCTTTTTATACTGTCACAGACTGATAGGCAGGTACGCCTATCCCCCCAGTGACCACTGCTGAAAGGGGGTTTCTCCTCTCCAGCCCCAGCGTTCAGGCTTGTCTCTTGAAGGGAACACAGGGGCTTGAGTACCTCCCCTTGAATGGCTGGCCTGGCAGCTCGCCACTGCCTCCTGCAAGGGAAGGGCAGAGGAGGGGGGTGATGCAGGTGAAAGCAGACCTCCCTCAGGGAAGAACTGGATTGACCAAGTATCCCAGTTTGTACAGAGCTTGACTGTCGAATGAAACCATTGCTGGTCCTTGTTGAGGGTAAGATCCCTCGGTCTCTGGCTGTGTCTAATATCATATGCTGTAAATAGCAGCCCTGTTGGAAAGAATAAAGCTGTCCCATAGCACATGGCTGTTTTGGGAAGGGATGGTTAACAGAGGCTATGGGGTGCAGGCTGGGTACGTAGAACACTGTGAAGGGGAGTGTTTGGATAGAAATATAAAGCAGTCAGTGCAGCAGGTAGAATATCAGCAGCCACAACAATTGCACCCGGCCTAATCTCTAGTCAGTTACCAGCCCCTGCTGTGGGAACCATGCTAGTCTCTGCATTTCCGGCCCCTTGACTTGAGCTGCTGCATAGTTTAAACACTAGTGGGAGGAGAAGGGGGCACCTGATTAGAAGAAACAAGCACAATATTGGTAAAACAGAACTGCTGTTTATTTAGGATGATTAAACAAGAGCTCTGAGAGGCAGGGGCAGCCAGAGCAGGGTTTAATTACAAGCTTGTTCTAGCCCTAGTTGACTGCAGCAGTGCATACAAATACACAATACAACTGTACCTTCATGCGCAGACCCCTTGCTGCTGTGGCTTCCTAGAAGTCTAGCGCACAGATCAGGGCTACGCCCCGTTTGATCCAGTGCCTCTGGGACTTACTGCTGGGGATCTCCACTGCAATCACATAATTGGTAGAATGACCTGTTGTTGACAATGTCCCTGTAATGGAAACAGGTAAAGCTGAACCCAGGACTGGTATGTTTCTATACATGGAAAAAAAAATCTCATCCCTCTTACAGCACCCCCTGCTGTGACTCATGGACCAGTGGTAGCTGCTCTAACATCAAAGTTACTGCAGAAGCATCCTGTCCTTGTACTACTCTGCCTACAGTGTGTCTCGGGCCAGTCATTTAGTAACATTTCTGCAGCTGAGATGGGACCGTGCTGTCCTGTATCAGTTTTTATACAGCACTCGTCACGGTGCTAGTTAAGCATCCTCTAGGAGTGCATCTAGCATATCCTGGTTCTCTTATCCTGTCCTGAGGGCTGAGCGGGAGAAGTGTGGGCAGTGGCATGTCTTGCCTTTGAAGGCTTTTTAAAACGTATTAAATATAAACCACAGAGCACCAGGTGTATTTATTAGAGAAGACACGGGCAAAGAAATGCATCTTGAGGGCTGGGATGGTCCATGACTACTGGGGAAGTTAATGGATAAGGCTCTGCTTGATACGAAAATACTCCTGCTTGTTCTGTTAGCATCACGCTAATAGGTTCTGCCTGCATAGTCTTGAACATGGATAATAAAGCCACCCAAGCAGGGCTGTTATTACACATCTAAGAAACCTGGTCGCTCTGTCATCCTGCCATTCATGTCAATGGGGCCAGTAGGAACCAGGTCTATTGTTCACATGAGAGTTGTAATGTAGTGTCATCTTGCCAGGGTCTTTGAGCATGAGCACTAGCCCTGCAGTGAAGGAGAGAGCCCAGCTGCTGCTTTATCTCCCTAGGCACTAGTGCTATTCCCTCACAGCTTATGCTTTGGGAGTCCTCCCTGGTTTCCTTACCTGCTCGAGTGAGCGTCTTGTAGATTGGGCACAGGTAGAAGCCTGTGGTTGGAGGTTTGCGGTTGGGAACAGGGACGAGCCAGATCACTGCCATCTCTGTGTAAAGCTCCTTGGGGCGTGACTCTGCTACCTGAAAGGAGAGGGGATCCCAGCGAGCACCTTCCAGAAACAGGCCTTGAATATAACAGCCCTCGGCGGGACGCTGGGTCAGCTCGCTCACTGACTCTCTCATCACCTAACGGCCCGAGGAAGAGCAGAATGTCACAAGAAGCTCACCACTAAACATCAGGACAGCGATCAATTCCTAACTGAGCACACCTCCCCTCCACCCTGCCCTGCCGCCAGCTAGCACCAGGAACTAGTGTAAACCTCCTGCTTCTAACAGCTGTGCTGCTTCCCAGGAGGGGCTGTGTTGCAGCCAGTCAGTCCCATTCGTAAAAGGCTCTGAAAATGGTGGCCAGAAACAGCCCCAAGGGGACTCCCCTGCTTGAGATTTTCAGGACTACGGAGCGTGCACAACTCTCACTGCAGTGAATGGAAGCGGTGAGTAGTCGGTAGCTCTGAAACCAGGCCCTCTGGTGGAGGGGTGTGACCATGTGGAGGCACATACATATAACTGCCACGTGGGGGCACTCCTTGCTCTCAGCAGGTGGTGGCTAAAATGTGTAAATCAGGCTTTTGGGCCCGCGTGCTTAGTGAGGCCTTTTGGAGACGCGTGTTTGGGATTTGTCCCTGGGCTCTTCCAACAAGGCTAGTTGGGACGGATGGGCAGTCTTTCCCCCACGCTGGAGCCCTAACTTCCAAAAGTCAGTTAAACGTAGTGTAGCCTAAGTGGTATGCAAAGGGCAGTCTACAGCCAGTGCTCCAGGCTATGTGATGCGCCCAGCTGTAGTGCTCCGTGGCTGACCTGTTAGGCAGTGGCGTCGAAGGGGTGTGAGTCTCTACTCTCCTTGAGTTTGGTTTCTACTGCTGGAGAGCCAGCCAGTACCAATTCAACGTAATGGCCCCTGGGTCACTGACCTGAAAGTCAAACGCAATGGTGTCGATGGAGATGACTGATTTCCTGGCAAAGTTCTGCAGCGTCCCTGTGAGAAAGGCTTGGGGGAAGAAGAAGCCACTGATCCAGAACACAGGTGGGATCCCCTTAGTGATCCATCGCTGCAGGAAGTCAATCCGCTGCAGCAGGTCATTAACCCAGGAGGCCAAGGGCTTCAGGGATGGATATGCCTGCAGGAGGAGACCGACAAGGGAGTGCTTTGTGCGGTCCTGAATCTTCATGCTAGTTTAGGCACCCGTCCAGCTGTAACAGGCTGCACCTGCTGCTTGTATTCTGCAGCCAACCAACCCACAAGAGGCTAGTGGGGAAGGGGTGTCTTACAACAACTGAAAAAGGCCCTGTTTCCCATCCAGACCAGCTGCTGTAGGGGTAGGGAAGGGATTGCTTCAAAAAAGCTAGGAGGTGGACCTTTGTGCCAGGGTCTAGGATGTGCACACCACTAACCCCCCCACAATAATTTGGACGCTTTCTGTGTCTCATGGGGTGCAGTGTTTCGGTTTCCATTTAGAGTAAACAGATTTGCATATTCACTGTATAGTTCTTAGGAAACAACTACACCGTGATTATGCAAATCCCTGCCCTCCAGCTAGTGCGAGTCAATCAGAGTGCAGGGACTCACATAGTGTCGGGCTGAGAAATAACTGCACAGTGATTTTATGCAAATAAGACTCCCACAACCTGTCCCAGCAGGGAATTGCATATCTGAGTAACAATGCCATTGTGCACAGATATTTAGGGAGCATCCCTGCCCTCTGATGGGCGGAGACAATTCCAGGCAAGTATAATAAGTAATGCCAAGGTGCTGAAGGATGGGCTGAAGGTTCTAGGTGGTTTGGGTTCTTTCCATGGGGAACCACAAGATAAAAGAGTCCTGATGCTTTTCAAAACATGGCAGAAAATTTACCTTTGACAAGGTCCCTCAGCAAAGGCTCTTAAGCAAAGTAAGTGGTCATGGTATAAGAGGGAAGGTCCTCTCATGGATCAGTTACTGGTTAAGCAATAGGAAACTAAGGGTAGGAATAAATGGTAAATTTTCAGAATGGAGAGAGGTAAATAGTGGTGTCCCCAGGGGTCTGCACTGGGCCCAGTCCTAGTCAACATATTCATAAATGATCTGTAAAAAGGGGTAAACAGTGAGGTGGCAAAATTTGCAGCTGATACAAAACTACTCAAGATAGTTAAGACCCAAGCAGATTGTGAAGAGCTACAAAGGGATCCCACAAAACTGTGTGACTGGGCAACAAAATGGCGGATGAAATTCAATGTTGATAAATGCAAAGTAATGCACACTGAACAACATAATCCCAACTATACATATAAAATGATGGGGTCTAAATGAGCTGTTACCACTCAAGAAAGAGATCTCGGAGTCATTGCGGATAGTTCTCCGAAAACATCCACTCAATGTGCAGCAGCAGCCAAAAAAGTGAACCAAATGTTGGGAATCATTAATAAAGGGATAGATAATAAGACAGAAAATATCATGTTGCCTCTATATAAATCCATGGTATGCCCACATCTTGAATACTGCTGTAGATGTGGTTGCCCCATCTCAAAAACATATATCGGAATTGGAAAAGGTTCAGAAAAGGCAACAAAAATGATTAGGGGTATGGAACAGCTTCTGTGAGGAGAGAGAAGATTGGAACTTTTCAGCTTGGAAAAGAGACAACTAAGGGCGGATATGATTGAGGTCTATAAAATCATGGCTGGTGTGGAGAAAGTAAATAAGGAAGTGTATTTACTCCTCATAACACAAGAACTAGGGGTCACTAAATGATATTAATAGGCAGCAGGTTTAAAACAAACAAAAGGAAGTATTTCTTCACACAATGCACAGTCAACTTGTGGAACTCTTTGCCAAAGGATGTTGTGAAGGCCAAGACTATAACAGGGTTCAAAAGAGAACTAGTTAAATTAATGGAGCATAGGTCCATCAATGGCTATTAGCCAGGATAGGCAGGGATGGTGTCCCTAACCTCTGTTAGCCAGAAGCTGGGAATGGGCGATGGGATGGATCACTTGTTCTGTTCTGTTCATTCCCTCTGGGGCACCTGGCCTTGGCCACTGTCGGAAGACAGGATACTGGGCTAGATGGACCTTTGGTCTGACCCACTAGGGCTGTTCTTATGATCTTAAGAGGTAAATGTGGGACTTAGTAGAGAAATAGCTGCAATTGCCTAAGATGGACTAAGAGGGCAGTCAGACTTGCAAACCTATTTGTAAAGCTCTGCTCGTGCACCTCAATCTTGACCTGCAACCCCATGCCTGCATTTTCAGCCCAAGGTATGCATGTCATACTGTGGGGTGTTTTTTGGGTGTGGTTCAGAGCCCACTGGGGACTAGCATAAGACCCACTAATTCATTTCAGTATGTGTCTGAATCAGAATCCTTCTAATGGGGAAGTTCTAGTTTCATTGACCCCTGTGCCAGCTCTTAAGTCTCCTTTGTTCAAGCCCTGAGCTGCTTCACCATGAAGAAAGGACCATGCATGTGATGTTCAAAAGCT